GGCCCGGTCGACCGGCCGGTAGGACCGGTCCGGTTCCGGTTGGGGGAGGCCCCCCCGGTCCTACCGGGTTTTTAGCACTGCCTTGGAGCTGTTTATTGTATGAAGTATCACCCCCACGCAGGTGCACCGGTAGCGGGCTGAAGGAGGAAACCTCACCCTTATGCTGTCGCCTGATGGTGCCATGTCGAAAGAGTATTTTGACTGACTCTGAAATGAAAATGCCCCATGCTCACATTGTTTTTGCATCTCCTCCTCTGGAGACCTAACTCTTCCCACTTGGACCGCTCTACACTTTCAACCTTTACTCTGTGTGTCTGAGGACCTGGCGGTTTTTCACTCGATGCTCCCCCACGACTTGCTTCCTACGGTCTATTCTGACCGTCTATGGTTACTGTCCAATGGATAGTGCTCACAACTGCACACACATTCTCCCCTCTTTGTTCTTTAGGCTGATCATTGCTGCCATTTTCAGAGATTTGTAATGTTTTCCCTTTTTGCTGTTCTTTTCTCTTTCCTTTACCATCATTTTCAACCGAGGCCCTCCTGCTTTGTGTCGTCTGCGGAACTAAGTTATCCCTTTTGTTGTCCAGGTTGCCGGCGGCTTGATCTTTTGCAGCATACCAGGGAACCATCAAGGCTCTTTTTCATCGAACCCCAGTGCTTCTCGCACGGGAGCTGGTGCTTATGTGCACCGTGAGTGTGCCACATGGTATGATTTCATATTCCGTTCCAGTTTCGTGTTTCTCATTTTTACTCGTGGAAGTTTCTGTTTGTGCATCGTTGTGTGTGTTGCATTTAGTCTTAAACCATCACTACCTCCGAGCGTCTTTTTGCCGAGGTGGACAAAAACTGCACGCCAAGCTTTGCCAAAGCGCCAGCGTGACGTGTTTTTCTTTTCTTCGGGACTGTCGCTGCCAGCCATTTTGCTCCGGTAGCACTGTTCAGCCAGAGAATGCGGTCGGTCTTTGACTCTGTGACAAATTGGTGTTTCGAGTATGCCTGTGAAAGGTAGTGGCGATTTAATCCTAACAGCTCTCCTCGCTTATTCTCCGGTTCATCTACCGCTTTTTTTTCTTTTTTTTTTCCCAAACGAAACCCCAAGCCCAATCTATTCTAGGGGGTGCCAATCCGGTTTGTTATCACCGGCAAGCTCAGTTTTAACGTTTGGAACTTTGGAGGTCGGAATGAAGCGGACACAAATCAGGTTGCAGAGCTCTATTTAACTCTTTTGCAGTACCACAAAGGCAGGTGGGGAATGGAGCAGAGGGCATCACCATACCACTCTCAAAATGTGCAAAATGACAATGAACTTCCTGCTAGAACACAGCCAAATGCACCCGCCATAATTTTGTCATTTTCACATTTCGAGAGTGGTGTGGCAAGGCCCAGAGTTTAACCAGTTTGTAGGGCTATTTTAGTATATACTATTTTTTCAGTTAGTTGCATGCAGTGCAGAGAGAAGGTTAACCGACCCCCCAATTTTCACCGTCATTTATAAGAAAACCAAAGGGTCATTTAAGGTTTTGTCCTTTTCAAGGAGTGTGTTTGTCACTCCCTTTTTTTTCCTGCCCTTTTACGAGCTACCGGTATGCCTGTAAAGTTGCTTTTTGACAATGGATGGGTAGCAAAATAGAGGTCAGATGGATTGCTGAGCTTCTTCTCTGACAAGGCCCCATTTTTTCGGCATTACCTCCCAGGGCAGAAAAGGAGGCGTGGGATACTGTGGTTTAAGGTGTCATCAGATGCGCAGTCGTATCAGGAACAAAAGGAATGTCAGAATTGGCAGATTGAGAGGGCTCTTTCTTGAGGTGAACGGCCATTCTTTGTTGGTGATTAATTTGTCTGGTTAATCCCGTTAATGAACGAGACCTCAGCCTGCTAAATAGCTAAAAAGAGAAAGAAAAGGGGTGGTGGTGGGTGTGGTGGTTAAGGATTGGCAAGGCTTGGAGACACTTTGTGTATAACTGGAAAAGGTCCCAAATGGAACTGGTCCGAGAGGCAAGTCATGTATTGGAGGTGGTTCTATGTTACATCTTCGACGCCACACGGGTCCTACCGGACCCGACTTAGGGCTAGAGGGACACATCAGGGCCTAAAGGCCCGACCTTGGGGGTACTACTAGCCATAAAGGCCTCACCTTGGACCAGACCCGACGGGCAGGCCCAAACGACATTACCGTCTGGGCCTGGCGGCGCTCTTGAGGCTGCCGCCCGCCGGTTGGGGCTGAACCGTCCATCTGGACGGTTCAGGGCATGGCCAGGCCTCGCAGCATTGAGGCCGGCCTCTGCCCCACCGGTATGGCGCTCTTGAGGCTGCCGCCTGCCGGTTGGGGCTGAACCGTCCATCTGGACGGTTCAGGGCATGGCCAGGCCTCGCAGCATTGAGGCCGGCCTCTGCCCCACCGGTATATAGAACCGATCCAGCCTCAGTCCAGCATCGACTTACCGGCATTCTACCGGTACGGTATGGTACAGCGCTAATCAGCGCTGGCGCTATCTTTAGCGCAGGAGCAGCGAGGAGCAGCGCAGCGCAGCATTAGCGCAGCAGTAGCGAGCGAGCAACAGCAGCGGCGACTGAGTGCACAGGCGGCCATAGCCGCCTGAGGTATCAGGAGTCGGAGGCCTCTCTCCTCCCTCCCCTCACCAGTCCCCTCTCTCTCTCTCCTCCTCGGCTCCTACTTCTTCTTCTTCTTCTTCGTCTTCTTCAGACCTATACTAGTTGGACAGAGATCAGTGTTTGGACTTCGGTGGTATGAGACTGGTACTTACCAGATTGGAGACTTGGAGATCGTTGGGGTTGATACTTGGCGACATCACAGTTCAGACACCGGTTACATTTGGACTCTGTATCTCCGACATTGGTGACCTATGGTCCTCGACATTTTGATCTTGTTGGATGACATTTTGGACTACCATATCGGTGACCTATCAGATTCTATCTCGGTGACTTTCGGTGCTGTCTACCTCCCACACCTCTTCGTCTCTCCTCCCCCATTCATTTGTGTATGTGTACGGGGCTGAGCATCTTCTATGTATGGCTCAGACCCCACCACCTCACGATTGCATGTGTGTGGAGTGATGCTATGTGAGTCAGTCCGTTCATCAGACTTCCGTTGCATATATGCTCACCCTACATTGGTTGATCCTTGGTTCTGCCCATACTCATTGGAGTATGTAACATTCTACCTGCCTCTTCAAGCTTCCAGTATGAGTGATTATTTGCCGAAGCAATATTGTTGTTTTTACGACTACTGACGTGTCAAATATTCAGATATCCAGTTGCAAAAACAGATGAGCAGAATGAGAAAGGACTTTGGCAGCACGGTGAGGATCACTAAGAACATTACGTGGAGGTCACAAACCTTAACGATATGGTTAACGCCCAACTGTCCCCGACAGGGTTGAACTTTTTCACAGTCACCCCTGAACGAGCTTCTAACGAAGGCCCTATACAGTCTATCTGTTTCCACTGTATATATCAGTGCAGGACTTCTTCTCTTTTTTTCCCTTCCCAGCGACGGCCTTTAAATGTCATCATTGAGCTGTGACCAGCCCCAGGCAATGAATCTCTTCGTCTGATAGTATCTGGATTCAAACTTGAGTCTGTATTTGAACAGTTCAGGTGCGTACCAACTGAGCTAGGGCCGTTGGTGCAAGATGTTCTTTAGCTGATGCACAGTTGCGGTTTATGAGCGGGAATGTGGATGATGTGAAAAGGCTAAAATCTTCCCTTGGCCAGACGACACGTCTGTGTCTGACCTTCTGTAAGGAATTTGATTTCCGACTTGTGTGTCATGGCAGGGCCCCAAATGTGTTCTACAAGCACGACAAGCTGTGTAATGTTGATGCAGAAATTCAGCGTGGACGGAAGATTCGATGTGCTGTCTGCTTGAAGCCAGGCGCAGTGCTGGGTTGCTTCCGCAAAAAGTGCCCGAAAAGCTATCACTTCACCTGCGCAGTTAATTGTAAAGGAACACGTTTCGATGAGGTTGGTGCTTCTCTTGTAGTATGCTGTGTTCGTTTGTGTGGGTCCTTGAGTGAAGCATTATGCCATTATCCCTGGCTTTGAGTACGTCTGTGAGTATCATAGGTCGCAGGGGAACTTCTATGTAGCAACGGACTACTGTGATGGTCTCCGTGACATTTGGCACCAAAGCAGGAATTTGTTGGTAATGGTATGCTGCAGTTTGCTAGTTGATTCCAGATCCAAGAGTAAACCCGTCGGCTGGTTCTGGCAAATCTCAAAGTGGAAGAAGTAAACAAGAGTAAAGTGGAAAAGAACAAGAAACCGAAACAGGGCAGGCGAGGGGGAGAGGGACGGAAACCGAAAGTGCCTGTATGCGCTATGAAGGAAAGCTGAAGGAGATAATGGCTGGTGTGCTGTGAAACGAGCGCACTAGTGTCTATCATTTCTTGCTAGTTTGCAGGGTGAGAAAAAGGTTGGCTGGCAGCTGCACCGCTACAATTTTGCCTGAGTGATGCATGTTTAGTATGTATGTTTGAGATGATTGATAAGCGGATGAAAGGGAGGAAGAGATGGGAGTAGAGAGAGCAGATGCAGACGGGGAGGAAAGAAGATGGGGGCTGACTTTGAGGGGGCGGAGAACAGGTAAGTCAAGGAACAGCAGCTGGACTGTGGAAGGGGAGGAGGATGAACAGAGGCAAGAGGTACAAAGATAGAGGGTGATGTTGAGGAGGGTGGAAACTGGTGAAACGTCAAGGAACAGTAGCTGGACAAGGAGAAGGAGGACGACGAGGACAAACAGCAGTAGGAGGTAAGAAGATGGAGGCTGATGTTTCAGAGGGCCAGAACTGGAAGAAAGGCATGGAACAGCAGCAAGGAGGAGGAGGAGGAGGAGGAGGAGGAGGAGAGGGTGAGAAGGAGAAGGAGAATGAAGCAGTTGTGCAGCGGTTCGTCCATTGCCTTCGTGCGAATGAAGATGATATCGACGTTCAGTTTGCAATTTCCCATGCAATTGCCATGTTTTCATGTTGTTATTACGGTTGGCACTGTTTTCTCATTTCAATTTTTGACTAACCAGTCTGGGCGCATGACCGACTTTTGATGTGGCAGGATCAATATGTTATGCTGTGCCCAGAGCATAGCCAGTCTAACTTCCCAGGGGAATCAAAAAATAAGAAGAAGGGTGGATTGAGCAAGGGGTCGCAGGAGGACACCTATGATGCAATTGAAGAGGAAAGTGGCAATAAAAAGAAGGGGGCCGTGCAGAAGGGTACCCCTCACAAGGCAGATCGAGCAGACCAGTAAGTCCTTCCTCATTTTTTGTTTCCACTGGAAAAGTTCAGTGCCCCTGAGTTACTCTGACAGCGACTTGAAATATTGACCCGTTGATAACAGTTGTTGATTCTACTTGTAGTGCAAAAACATTTAACCAATGGTCGTGCACGCCTTTTGTCCTTTTTAAGCCTCTTGTAGGAATGCGTGCAGGCCTTTTTTCTTTGTCTCCATCTGAGCTCTTTCTTGCAATTGTTCTCGTCAGAAGACATCGCAGAGGAATGTGCTGCTTGCTGGATTTGTTATGTTTTGTTTGTCGGCCCTCGTCTTTTCTCTTGGTTATCACTGTCGTTTGTTTGTGCAGTGCCTGGTCATGCCTCTTCTGTCCCAGCACTGCCTCCGCTTCTGTCGATCGCTGGGTATCTGTTGACTGGTGTGGCATAGGCAAGGGGTCCTTTGTTATTTTGCGAAGGCAAAGTGCACATTTATTTTGGTCAATTGCACGGTTTCACCTTTCTTAAGCGGTGTGCTGTTTCCTGTTCGCTGATTGATCTGTTTTTCCTCCTCAGTTCAAGAAAAGATGTTATTGTCGGAACCTCAACAGCAATGGCCTCATCCTCTGCCCTCGCTAAAGCATCAAGAGTGGTCATCTGTGGCTCTGGTTTGACCTCCGGCGAAAAGGTAAAGTACCAATAATGTGCTTGTGGGTAACTGACTTTTCAAAAGACTACTGCTATCCCATATGATCATCCTGCCTCTTCACAGACGATCATACCGCCTCTTCACAGATGACAAGTCTCAATGGGTATGCCTGTGGAATAGTCAGTCTGCCTCTTCGCATACGTTTATAGGATAATAATAACACGACAACAAGGTCATCACATCAGCTGTCCGTCACCGGCAACCTGATGCTATTGCCACGGGATCATGCCAGCTCACTGTTCGGACAGAGCTTGCAAGCTCGCCCTTATGTATCGGGACAGGGCTTGCAAGCTTGTCTTACCAGGACATATTTCGCATCATTCCATGTCCTTGTCGCCCCTGATTCTTCAATCACGAACCCTTTCACCCCCTGAGCCTGTTTCCCTTTTCCGTCCTCTTCTCCGTTCACTTGGAGTCTTTTTGGCCTTTCTTTTAATTCCATTTCTTCTCACATGGCCCTTCCTCCCACTCTGCTTCTGCCTCTTGTTCTCTCTTTTGTTTTCTTGTGGAACTTGCCAAGTTTGTCCGTGTGTCAGCTTGCATCGCATTGGCCAGGGTCTCATCTTCTCTTGTAGCATCCTGACATTTCACAGATCTTCTCTACAGCGCCTAATGCACCCTTTCCATCAATAGGTACTTTCTCACATCACCGTCTTCCACCCGAATAGAACACACTGTAATTATTGCTGTATCTGGACTGAACATTGCACCGAATACAGCTATAATGACCGGGCGTTCGATTCGGGTGTGAATACAAAGACCCTAGTTCGTCTGTGTTCATTCTTAGAAATGATATCGATACACATACTCGATGAAGAAGAGAAAGCTCGTCCATCACCTGTTCATCTGACCATTGTAACTTGGAACTTTTGAGGGTTTGTTTGAAATGATACCATTGCACATGCTTGATGAAAAAAAGATAGCACTTCCACTGCCTCCTCCGCTTTTGATCGTCATAAGTTTGAATTCGAAAGGTCTGCTTGAAATTTTCAGACTTTCGTTCAAACTTCAAAGTGTTTCTCGACATCAGCTTCTTGCTATTTGTTTTGGCAAAAAGCTCCAGAGCTGTGTAGCACACGGAACATGTTCGGAGCTTTTCCGAACGTCCGAACATGTTCGGGTGTTCGGCCGAACGCCTCCCGAACGTGTTCGGCCGAAAGCCTCCCGAATGTGTTCGGCCGAACGCCTCCCAAACGTGTTCGGCCGAACATTTAAAAAAAAAAAAAAAAAAACTTATGTTTTTGGTTTTTGATTTTTAACTCGAGTTTGGTTACAACTTTGAGCATACCTCCAAGGCAAAAGTTGTTTGTATTATTATTTTACATAACAATTTTTTTTTTCAGATTTTTCAGAGAACTTTGTTTTTATTATATTTTATTTTATTTTTATGTTCGCGTTCGGAGAGTTTCGGCGCTCGTTCGCGTTTGGTCCCAAACGTTCGGGTTCGGTCACCGAACCCGACCACGATGCTACACAGCTCCAGAGAATGAATTGACCATGGAGCAAGTTCCACGGAATCAATTTTGCTTTTTTTTACTTGGAAGAAAATGAGTTTGAACTTTGAAGTCCTTTGATACATTCCGTTAAATTGGAACGATACAGAAAAGATTAGCATGGCCCCTGTGCGAGGAGGACATACACTAATCGAGAAATGGTCCAAAAAAAAAAAAGAGAAAATGAGTTCGAACATGGAGTAAAGGTGAGTATGGCATACGCAGTAACAACCGCACGCTTCACACATACATGCACAACACACGATCGCACAAGTGGAGTTGGAACAATATAGAGAGGATTAGCATGGCCGCTGTTCGTGGATGACGCACACTAATCGAGAAATGAGAAATGGTCCAAAACAAAAAGAAATGAGTTCGAACATGGAGTAAGGGTGAGTATCGATTCTTTCGAAGGCTCGAAAAAAACAAATGTATACAGTTCTATACACTGTAACAACCACACTCTTCACGCGTACGTGCACAACACACGATCGCACAAGTCTCGTCCACCAACGATGAGCATGTTAAGAGGTAAGATAGTCCAAAAGGCCGCGACAAGAGACTGCTCGAGAACCCTGCTCTTCGCCGTCATTCTTCATCCCAAGTACTACGCCACTCGTTCCACCATCCATTCCGGAACAAACCCGGAACCATGTCATCATCGAAAGGGGGTGAACCGCACAAATTGAATCAGCATGGCACCTGTGCGAGGATGACACACACAAATTGAGAAATGGTCCAAAAAAAAAGAATCAGCATGGCACCTGTGCGAGGACGACACGCACAAATTGAGAAATGGCCCAAAAAAAAAGAAAACGAGTTCCTAACGTGGAGTAAGTTTGAAGATAATTCTTGATTGAAATTTTAGATGCATGGCTTGCTGAAATTCAATGGTCGACTCGTGCAGGATTGACAGCTGACTTTTGCTTGATGGTTTCTTGGTGGTTGGTATGATGTGCATTTCAGGACCTGCTTGATTCAGTTGCATCCATGAGTGGATTTGCTCAAGAGAAGCAGTGGTCGCAATCTGTCACACATGTCATCGCCAGCGTGAACAGTAACCGATGCGCAAAGCGGACTCTCAAGTTCTTATTTTCTGTCCTTTATGGGCAATGGGTAATAACCCCAGAATGTAAGTGTGTCAGCAATGCCAAAACTTCCCCAAAAGTATGTCTGCCTATTTTGAGCCTTTTCTTTGTACAAATGGACGATGACAAAAACATTTTGCAAAACACCCCAGCCATCAGCTGGACTCCATCTGACAGGGGCATGACACAAACATGTCAGCCCAAAAGGCCATTCCCATATCTCTTAACGGACATTTTGACATATTTATCAACTTATGGAGGTATTTGGAGAATAACCCCCCC